GCGCGTCGCCTGCGGCAGCCCGCGGGTGGGGTGACTAGTTGCTTTCCTCTGCCAAGTCGTCTTCCACCTGGATTTGGATACGGTTACTTATTTCAGTACGTCCTGACTTGTTTATATGCAGGTCGATGTTATAGACAATAATATAGTGGCTGTTGGGAACAAGGTGTTGTTGCTGGACGTAGATTTGCCTGTGTAATGGTTTGAGTAACATCTTGTGCTTCTTAGAAACACTGAAAACACAAAAACATGTATTTGCAGGGACAGGAAGGAGTGGGCAGATATTGAACCTGTCCCTCAAAGTGATGGGCCAAGTCCTGTTGTTCAGATCATCTACAGTGAAAAATGTAAGTGTTAAATACATTCTGCACTGAAAACTTAAGGTGGTTAAATTTGTATCTGTCCTTAGTGTTGTTAAAGCGAGACTTCACATTTTGGATAACATATTTTCTATAGCAGTACTGTGAAGAAATTAGTTTATTGTGTTATTGTGGTTGTGTGTGATGTTTTCACCAAACATGTCTGAAGTTGAATCTTCACCTGAGATGTTAATAGCCAAGGTTTTATTTTAAAATTGTATGGCTTAAGAGGTAATACAACAAACAGTCTAGTTCACATAATACGGCATTTCTAGCCCACAAGTGGAAGAGAGATGTATGAAGCTGCTGCATCTGGGGAAATTGTGTGAGTAAGCCCTAAGGAATTTTTCTCGTTGTTTTTGGTATTATTCAGATAGTGTATTTTTAAGATATTTTTGCAGCTTTTTGTTCTACTAATCTCATTTAGATGTTTCAATCAGCAGTGCTGTCAGAGCAATACGTAGCTATCATTTTTAAGAAGTATATTTCAAGTACACAAAATAGGAAGTAACTTCAAAGGATTATTAGCCTTAGCCCCTAATCAGGCCATTGTCTCAGCCTTGGATAAGATGCTGTTATCTATTTAGTTCAAGATGTCTATGATTACTTCCGGGCTGTTGTACAGCGGGATGAGAGAAGTGAAAGAGCTTTTGAGCTAACAGCAGATGCCATTGAGTTAAATGCGGCAAACTACACAGTATGGTAAGTGATAATCTTGGGATTATTTTTAGCATCATTTGATTCCTGAACTCTTATCTCTTTAATAATTTTTTCAGTCTAATGAGGGCATGACTAGCTGAGTTGACACAGAGGAGTAGCACAGACTTCCAGTGAGCTTCTGAGGAAAGCCTTTGTTCAGTATTTTCTATGTCTCGTTTTGATTCAGTGGTTTTCATTCATTTGGCTTTTACTATATTATCAATCAAGGTCAGGATTAGCTACAAAAAAGACCTTTGCTGTTTAAAATTACATCATTTGCCTGATAACGTGGCCTTGGCAAAATGCTGAAGGTGCCCTCACTTGACTTCAAGAAGAGGCATAAAAGCATGATAGCTGCTATTTCCTGCTAAATAATTGTGTACTTACAAAATAGTGCATTCTAGAAGATCTGTCAGGTTAATGTGCAGGTAGGTAATGATTAAGCAGTGAATTTCTGATGTTCAGAGTGGGGTCTTCTAACTCGTGAATGCTAACAAGTATCTCTTGTACGTCTTTATTCCACTACTTGCATAAAATTAGAAAATTTCTATTATTTTAAGTATATAAGTCATAGTTTCTGTGATAAGACTAGCGTTGGTAGACAGAGGTTAATTTGAAAGAGGATTGCTGTGATCTTGGATAAATACTGTTGTAACCAGTTGTATTCCAGTTCTCCACTACTCAAGAATTGAATGGCCTTTACCAGAACTGGATATGTAGTTTAGTGTTTTTCACTCTTTTTAACTCAGTATCTATGAGAAGAACTGTGAACAAAGGTTATTTTATGTTCTCTGTGAATTTTAGGAAAGCCCTGTTGCAGTGTTCGAATGCTTGACTTTTATACAGGCATTTCCGGAGAGTCCTCCTGCAGTCCTTGGGAAAGGATCTCCATGAGGAACTTAAGTATATTACAGCTATCATTGAAGATCAGCCAAAGAACTACCAAGTCTGGTAAAGTCACATTTACTTTTAAGTACTGAACATTTTTGCATATAATTTTTGTTTTATAAATTGTCTAGAATATGTTGCGATCATTGATCCTCAAAGTTATTAAGAGTTGCTTCCTGCATCTACTGCATTGGCAATACTGGAGGAGTTAAATGGAGTTGCATAAGTATCACTGTCAAAGTCCTCTTTAGCAGTCTGTTCTAAACATGATTATGACATGCTGAAAAGGTCTTGTTTTCTTTTAATTTTAATTTTTAAATTGTCAAAATAAGTTTGACATAAAAAAAAATTACTCGTGAAAAGGCAAACAAAAAGACAAATAAATGAGTATTTTTTTTCTGTCATTGGCTTTTGGAGTTTGCTTACCTGTTGTTTTTTTCCCAACAATATGGGAATGGGAATACACCAAACAGCAATGTTGTTACTGCTAGAGCAATATGTAGTACTAGGAAACTTTATTCTGCTCGAGACTTTTGCCATGAGTGTTAAAAGTGGAAGCATGTTACTTCAAGTAAAGATAACTTGTCTGAAAGGTGATTGGCCAATGTGTATGTGTAGTTAGAATTTGTTATACTATAAGTATGCATCATATATTTCTCAGAGCCAAGTGAAATGTTATATTTAATTTGAAGTTTTCAATTAGTGTGGGTTTTTTTAAAGTAGTACAGTTGCTCTGTGCCGTTTTAATACAGACCATGTGTTCACAAAAGATTTTTAGACTTCTAAAAATAATTTCCTCTTCCTGTCACTAGGCATCACAGACGGGTGTTGGTGGAGTGGCTGCAGGATCCATCCCAAGAGCTTGAATTCATAGCAGACATTCTTAACCAAGATGCCAAAAATTACCATGCGTGGCAACACAGACAATGGGTTATTCAGGTATTATATCCACAGAACTCTTGAGTCACTAAATAACCTACTCAGGTTGTAGAGTTTTGCTTGTTAAATATATTCTGAATTGCCTTTGGCACTTTGTTTCTTAAGGCTGAAGGGTGAAAAACAATTGCATTTTAATGTGTGGTAAAGGTTAGCTATAGACTTGCCTTTTAGGAATTGAATTCAAAAGGGTCTATTTTTGGCTGCTTACTGTTGTGTGTGAATTTAATGATGGGCTAATACCATTGTGTGCCACTGAATAGTGTAGCGTGTTCCTAGTGCACCCTTCCTTATTTATCTTTGAACTTTGTGTTGATTTCTTTAAAAAAGTCTGTATCTAATGTTGAGAGAACTTAGGATTAAGGACCAAATTTTTGATTGTGGTATTCTTTCTTCCTTCCCTTTCCATAGGAGTTCAAATTATGGGACAATGAACTGGAATATGTAGACCAGCTTTTGAGGGAAGATGTGAGAAACAACTCTGTTTGGAATCAACGACACTTCGTAATTTTCAACACCACTGGCTATGATGATCCAGCAGTCCTAGACAGAGAAGTCCAGTTAGTAATGTTGTTCATGCTAACACTAAGCATTCTCCATTACATGAAAGCAAAGGAATGCTTTTGACAATCCATGTGTGTTTCCTGTTTTTAATGCAGTTTTTGGGCTCGCTGTCATGGATAGCAGAGCAAGTGTTGGTGCATATATAGATGTGTTCAGCACTACTGACTTGTTGAGTAGTACTGAAGCAAGCTATGCTTACCCTAGGCAAGCTATTCTCATGAATCTGTCTTCCCACCCTGCTGTTTACTGTGCAAACAAAAGCTTTGGCTTTTTATGGTCAACTAGCTGTATTGGAATAACCTGTAGAAAATCTGTGACACTGGAAGCACGTAAGTTGTGCTGTTCATTAGTATCTTACATCCTACCCCTAGAAAGCTTGGAAGGAGGAGGCAGTCTCAGTGTTGTACTAAACAGTGTTGGTGTAGTAGTACAGTAGCTACAACGATTTAAAGATAACATGGATGTGGGTTGTAGGAAAAGGAATTGCCTTTTGTAAGGAATTTGATGCAGCTGGAAAAAGAAAGGAGCTTTTGGGGTATGTTGTCAGCACAAAGACAACTACCTGTGTGAGTTGGCTAGTTTTGAGGAAAGTGAGCTTTGGAAATTGCTTTTGAAGTGGTATGTTTGTAACTGAAGATGAACTGGGCTTCTAACCATTTATTTCACTACTGATGGTGGTAAGGGAAGCTTCATTGTATGGTTTTCACATCTCAGGCTGCTGATCGGGGTTGATGGTTATGAGAACATGTTTGTCTAAAGTGAAGAAGCAATAAAAAGAGGGTACTCCAAAATTTTTTTTGGAGTTCTTCAGAAGAAAGAGTAAGTCTCTGAATAGGTCCATTGGTACATTGTTCACAGAGGATCCCAGCCGCCCTTCCCCCCCGCTCCCCCCTTCATTGCCTTTGCAATTGTCTTTGCAAACTGCAGTAAGTTGTATTTCTCTTTCAGTTTATAACTTTCTCGCAGATTAATAAATCTGAACCATTTCTATGACTTAGGCTTGGATGTTTCCAGCTTTTTCTCTGCAAAGGTTAGATCTGACATCCTCCCTTGATATGTTTATACATGGTGCTAGGTTCAGGATAATTAGACAATCTGATTCTTAAGATGATATCCAAGGTTAAGACTTCCAGGATGTCATTATAGAACTGTAGTTGGGCTGCTTGTTGCTTGATAAACTTGGTCTTTGTCATAGTGACTGTATAAGGTTAAAAGAGGTTTAGGGTTGGGTTTGGGGTGTTTTGTTTTTTTTTTCAGTACCGCTTGTAGAACTTTTTATCAGTATGTGCTGTCTCTGAAAATCAGCATAATGCCTGGTTATGCTGGTGAAGGGCAGAAGGTAAAGTCTGTTTTGTGAAGATGAAATGTGGTTTTGTGACTGTATGGCAGGTGCCTCTGATTGCTTTGGTTTCAGAGGAGTTGCCTAACTGTTACTTAACTGCTGCAGAAGGCTGTGTGAGCCAAAAGCTCAAGCTCTGCCTTTCTGTGGGTTTGCTCAAGTGCAGCCTCATAAAAAAAGTTCTGCAAATAGGTACAGAACGTACCACACGCAGTCATATTAATATAGCTCACCCTGTTCTTTGATTCCTCTAGCCTTTTCAGTAGCGACAGGACAAGGGGTAACAGTTTTAAACTAGAAGAGGGTAGATTTAGGTTAGCTATGAGGAGGAAATTCTCTACTGTGAGGACGGTGGGACACTGGCATAGGTTGCCCAGGGAAGTTGTGGGTGCCCCATCCCTGGAAGTGTTCAAGGCCAGGTTGGTGGGGGCTTTGAGCAACCTGGTCTAGTGGAATGTGTCCCTGCCTGTGGCAGGGGGACTGGAACTAATGGTCTTTAAGGTCCCTTCCAACTCTAATGATTCTATGATTTTTATGGTTATTGCTCATAATTTTGAGAACTGTTTCATTATTGTATGAAATGCAGCAAATAGAACGCTTCAGAATTTAAAACTGTTCTCACAATAGCTGCCTCCCTGAGACCTGTAGTGATTACATTGTGAGACATTTTCGATCTATGACCCATCTGAGATGATCTGCATAAAGGTTCTGAAATACAGACTGGAGATATGTAGTTGGGAATGTCTGAGCACATTCAGGTAACTTCTAACTGCATTGTTACTGGTTGCATTAATGACCTGTTGTCTTTTTCTCACAGATACACTCTTGAGATGATCACAGCAGTGCCACATAACGAGAGTGCTTGGAACTATTTAAAAGGGTGAGGCATCCATCTCTGTGCGGCAAAGAGAATATCTGTAGAAGGTGTCTTATGCCTAGCTCTTATCTGGAAAGAGCTTGTTGCTGACCATTCTAGTGTTTTGTGCTTAAGCAGGCAGGCAAAAACCTCCACAAGGGGTTAATATATTAACCTAATTTCTCTGTAACTTTCCACTATGTTTCTGGCGCTTGTAGTGGGCCTTGTGGGAGGACTGCAAGTGCTTCTCATGTGTTTAAAAAAATGACCTGTAATGTTACTGGTTCAAAAGCATAGAGTAGAAAGTAACAAGCATGCTTTCAATCTAATTTCTGTTCAGTTGAGTATAACTATACTAGCTTACTACAACATTATTGCTGCATGCTGCTTTCTGCCTTACTTGTATTTGTACCCTTACTTTAAAACTGATCTCCTGTCGTGACTTAAGCCCAGTCGGGAGATAGGACCATGCAGCTGCTTGCTTACTCCCCCTGGTTGTGACTGGGGAGAGATTTGGAAAAGTAAAAGTGGGTTGAGATAAATACAGGGTAAGTAAAGCAAAAGCCACATGCACAAGCAAAGCAAAACAAGGAATTCAATCACTACTTCCCATCAGCAGGTAGGTGTTCAGCCATCCCCAGGAAAGCAGGGCTCTATCATGTTACTTGGGAAGAAACGCCATCACTCCAAACATCCTCTACCTTTCCTTCTTCTTCCTCCAACTTTATAGACTGAGCATGACATCATATGACATGGAATATTGCTTTGGTTAGTTTGCGTCAGCTGTCCCAGCTGTGTCTCCTCCCAACTTCTTGTGCCCACCCCAGCCTACTTGCTGGCAGGGCAGTATGAGGAGCAGAAAAAGCCTTGAGAGCTAAGAAACAACTCAAAACACCAGTGCACGATCAAAAGTATTCTTCATCCCACATCCAAAACCTAGCACAATACTAAGTGCTAGTAAAAAAATTAACTCTATCCCAACTGAAACCACAACATCTCCAAATAAGGGAGTCATAACAGAAATGTGATTCTTCACACCAGACTTTCCAGTGTTATGTTTCAAGCCTGTTAACCTCTGTTCTAGGATTCTACAGGATCGTGGTCTTTCTAAATATCCAAACCTGTTAGAGCAATTGTTGAATTTACAGCCCAGCCACAGTTCACCCTATCTGATTGCATTTCTTGTGGACATATATGAAGATATGCTTGAAAACCAGTGTGACAACAAGGAGGAAACACTAAACAAGGCATTGGAGGTATGTTTTGAGAGCTTGGTGTTGCTTCTTAGGGATGCCATCTATTGCTCTTGTTTTATATCCTAACAAAATGGGATGGATTTTTGTAAATAGAACAGGTTACTTGTTAATCGCAGGAGCTCTATGAAGAGTTGAACATGAAAGCCAGATAATCACAAGGGTCTTGTGAATTTAGTAACTTGCCAGTTACAAAATCACTGGAGTTTTCTTCACCTGATAGTAAAGGAAGATTTCTAGTACTGCCTGCAGAGGAAAGAAGATGTTTGAACAATCAGGGAGTTCCAATGCTAACTTTGTAGCCTGAACTCACTCTCTTCTCTGTAAGTTAGTGAATCTTGTTCTCAGAGTATCTATCTAAACAGAACCTCAAGCTCCTTTTGCACTTCTTGGCTTTTGCTAAGAAAGCTGGCAGAACTAGCTTAAAAGGCCAGCAGGCACTGGGGACATCAGTAAGAAATGTCAGGCATAACTTCCTACAGAGAATAAATGACTTCAAGCAATGTTGTTTATCTCCCTGTGCTTCATACTCCTTGCTGTGGTTTGCAGTGTAGTTTTTACAAGAACACTTCATTCACTGTGGGACAGACTGGAACTCGGTGTAATTAGAGCTGCAGTTCTTGCCTGGATTCTTTGGGTTCCAACAGTGTTCTTTCCCAATATTTTTCCTTTGTTGTGTTCCAGGACCAGAGTGTAAGTAAGTGCTGTTGTACCTCCCAGATTGATGTCTCTTTATACTATTTCACTGAGTTTGACTTCTTCATCTATTTAGGCATCAAAGCTCCTATTTTTCAGCTCTGGTTCACTGAGTAAGGCAGTGTCACCTGCATAATAAAAAGGGATTGACTAGAACATTTGTAGACTGTGTTCATACCGTATAAATTTTACATAGCATGTCCTGTGAGTAGGGTTGATTTCTGCTGTGCCTCGCTGCTTACCCAGATCAAAGTAAAACAAAAATCAGAACATTATAGCACCAGCTCTAATGTTGTGAGAGAAGGTTACTGACGTGCATGGAGAATCCTTTTGGGACAGCCTGCTAAGAGAAAAACCATAAACAAAATATCTCCTGTCAGTCCCTCAGAAGTACTGAAGATTCAAGAGCAGGATGTTGCTCCACTGTTTTGAATGAAGTGGTTTACAGCCTACTGGATCACTAAAAGACAACCAAGCCTGTCAGGAAGTCACAAGTATACTGTATTATACTGCAGGCTGAATAGGCTTGAGTAGATGATGAGTGGTAAGCACAGAAAGGAATCATGGGGAAGCAGTTGCAACTGAAATAGAACAGGAGGGATTTTTGTGCAGTGTCAGATTGGTTGACTACCAGTTGGAGTAGACATCAGTTTGAGGTCATTGGACAGTTGCAAATCCAGTCAGTAAAACAAGTGTTGCTAAGAAAGGTGTTTCTAACACTGGCTGAACAATATATTGTATGCATTTTATAGAGATAATTAAGGATTCTGCAAGCTTTTGGTTATAACTTCTCAATATCTCAATTTTCTTTAATAGTTTTGTGAAATTCTGGCTAAAGAAAAAGACACCATCCGAAAGGAATACTGGAGATATATTGGAAGGTCCCTTAAGAACAAGCACAGCTCAGGCACTGAACAGAGCACACCAACAGACAAGCAGCAGTAGCTGAACATGGAAGAAGACAGTGTTAAGCTCTCAAGCTGTTCATGCCCTGGCTTATCCACTCTCAAGCTGTTCATGCCCTGGCTTATCCACTCATTCCTAACACAGTCACATCAGATGCTGCAGTAATGACTGCAGGTAACTTAGCTGTAGTGGTTATAAAGAAACCTAGTTGTGATTAGTGCAAGCAGGCGCTGCAGTTGTTGCCTTCTGTGGGAGCAGCAATGCAACACTGACATCCTAAAAAAAAAAAAAAGCCATGCTGAAGATTAATGTCCTTTTTTAAAAAAAAAAGTCATGTTTTAACAGAAATGTTCTTTTTTTCTTTCAAATTTTTGTTTACTATTATGTCATAACAAATGTTTGATTCTTCTTTCAAATGTCTATGTTTACTGACATTCAGATTGCAAGGAAGCTCTAAAATTCTCTTCAAAAGGCACCTCAGTTATCTAGTGTTCAGCCATACTCAAAAATCCTGCGCTGTCAGAGCTGGGAAAATGACAGGCTGCCCATCAAGGTTGCAACTGCAGCTACCAAGCCTTTAATTTTAAAAATATGTGAGACAGAATCTTTCTTACGGAAGCAGGAGCTTGACAAAATCTATGAGCTATAGAGAGAAGTATCTTACAATAGGAAGTGTTAGATGATTGTAACTTGTAGCAATTGGTACTGACTACCTATGGTCAGGGAAAACACCAAACTGATTTGTCCTAAGGGTTCATCTGTTGTTACTGGTTGTGTGTAGTGACTCTTGTGTACAATTTTATTATGGAAGAGGTGTACCTAAATGGAAAACTGTATTGGTACAACTGTCCCTTGTAAATTGGTGTAATTGGAACATTCAATGGAGAATTATTAAAGCATGTGAAATAATTTCCTATGCTTGCTTTCATTAGAGGCTGATATTCTTGCCTTGGTCCAGCTGTGTCTGTCTAAGCTGTCACTGACTTCCACCTTACTGTCTCTGCAACTTGGCTGACAAAACAGCACCCAAGTCCTCCATAATCTCTTCAGTACAAAACCACCTCAGCTAGCACAAAATGCTTGTATCAGTTGCTGTCTGGCTGTGCTGAGGCAGATTAGGAGCGTGCTGTTCAGCTGGACCTTATGCGGGAGCAGTATCCTGCAGCAGAGAAGCAGTGAGGTTTCTAATCGCTCCCAACATGAGAAACACTTCTGTCGAAGTGCTAGGAGGCAATTAATGCAGTGCAGTGGGGACAAGTGCTAGGAGGCAATTAATGCAGTGCAGTGGGGACAAGGGGTTTACGGAGAGATGGGCTCCTAAACAAGCACAAAATGCCTTTAAGCTCGTGTGGCTTTTGGAACAAAGGGGTAAGGAAACAACATTAAGTGATTATGTGGAGTTATCCCTTGCAGGCTCACATGAAGGCTTTGCAAGTGCTGGTGAACTTGTCTATGTGCAAGTTTGAACTAGGCAGCAGAGATGCTGCAGCTGTGGTTTTCTTGCCCTGTGCACATGAATGGAGAGAGAATATCTTTATTAACACCATGAGCCACACATCTCAGATGTTGTCCCAGATATGGCATGGTGGATACAATAATTTGAAAAATGCTCCTCAGCCATGCTCATGCCCTCTTCTGAACATCAGTGCCTTCTGCACCTTACTGACATTGTGGGTTTAAGGTATGTGCTTTGCACTTTCTATTCTAAGTCTGGTTTTAGTTGATGATTATCCCTGAGGCTTTTGGGTTGGCAGCAGGTTTCCCTAGTGTACCTTTTGCTTAAGGCAGATTGATTTGGAAAACTTAGGTAAGATGATGTTTGGCTGAGTTTTGACAAGCCTGTTAATGTGGCAGTATGGCATTTTACTTCCAGTCCACAGGTGTCACATATACCTCCTTTTAAGGCTGTACTATCAGGCTTTTTGTACAATATATTCTAACAGCGAAGGGTAAAAAAATTGCATTTGGATGTAAAAAAAACCAAACATTATTTTTGTCCTATAACAGGTCCTTTCCAGAATCCCTGGCAGTCTGGACTAGTCTGTATAATTCTGGTCATGAACAACAGTGCCATTTTAAAGTACTCTGTGTACATTTACATCAGTTCATTGTGTATGGGTGCCTACTCAATGCAGGCCAACACTGGATGAAATCTGAAGCAGAGAATAGAAATCTCTAAAGTAGGCAATCATTTGTTTTCCTTCACAATATGCTACCTAATGCTTACGAGTTCAAATAGGGATGACCTGTACCTAGTAGAAGTCACAGTGTAAAAGTGACATGGTCATTTTCTCTAGTCATCCCTTCTCTGCTCTTAGCATCCTTTTATCTTAATGTATCACTTGGCTTAAGAACATACGCCCTTCAACACAAGACTTTTTGAAAATTAGGAGCCTGTTCCTGGACCGGAAGTGATGCTGTTAACAATGCTGAGAGAAGAACACATTTACAAGTTCTGGGCCTCCCTGTGCCTGCTCTGAAAAGGATACCTTACCTTCTGCTGATAGGGTGGGCCCCGAATTTGCAGAAAAGGAAAAAAAAAAAGCATGATAGTATGTAAAGGGGCACACAAGTGTCTGTATATGAACATTCAGGCCAAGACTGCCAAAGTCCAGGGTGCACGCACTTAATCAGTTTTCTGTACTTGGCATGAATTGCTAACAGAAACTTCGCCAAATTTAGCTAGGAACCTCACCTCAGGATGTGTAAATGTCTACATCAGGTGTCCTATATAAGCTCCCTAGGACTCTGCTCCATTATGTGTGTCAGGTACCTATCACTGTACCTCAAGAAGCCATGGGATATAAGCCTACCTAAGATTTCAGCCTTTGGGAATTAAAATCTTTGCTGTACCATTTCTCTGCTGCTGTGCAGCAGGGAAAGTGGATGTCAATCACTAGATGGCAGTGCAAAATTTCACCCTAAGTTCACTGATGCCGGCTATGTGCACGCACGCAAGAGGTGTAACTAGGACAACTCTTGCTCCATGCAACACCACTGGTTTCCCACCTGCTAATTAAACATGGAAGGACAGCTGCTTGGTAAGTCAATACATAGCACTACAGAGGGCTCAAGCACAAGTATACTGAGAGGGGCTAAATGGTCATCTTCACTAAAAATTGTTGGTGTTAAGTGGAAAGCAAGTTTTCATTAATTGAAATTATGTCCTGTGACACTGGGCACCTTGTACCAGATCTGGATTCTTGTTAGAGTCCTGGTGTTCTAAAATAACTGCATGACTAAACCCCTCTGCTCAGACCATGGGTTTTGTGGCCAGTTTACACCTTTTGGAGACGTGCTTCCAGTCAGAGTATGACACTTCGTGCACCTTCACAAGCTGCAAAATTTTGGTCCCCAAAAAGCCAGCCTTGTTATGGTCCCTCTGTAATGTGCTGGCCATTGTTGTCTGTTGCTGTGAATAGGGGCTGAAGGACAACAGGACCTGCTCCTGCTTCTTGGAAGTCAGGGGAGGACTTGGGCCTAATTGAGGAAATTGAGCATGCTGTTGCAAGTCCAAAAGTGGTTGCATCGTTCACTGGGAAGCAGGACCAAGGACTTTGGTGAAGGGCAAAGACAGATCTCTCTTCCTCATGCACTGGTTTGTTGAAACTGAGTCTTGTGGGTTGTCACCACGGTGCAGGGATTTTAAGTGAATGAAGAAATGCTGTGTGTGACTTTAGCCAACCAAGCTTGAGCACTCAGGGCTACTCAAGTGCAGCTGCTTCCTATGTGTGTACACATTGAGCTGCCACGACATGTTACAACTACCCCCTCCCATGGGTATAATGCTAGCTCTCATACCTCTGCCTTTTTCTGAAATGGTTGGGTGACAGGTGCAATGCTATTGTATCAGTGCTGCTCATGAGCAATGATCTTGCCACTGCTGAAGAGGTCTTGCTGTGCTTGGGCTTCTCATTTTGGGTTTGGGTTGCTTTGTATAGGTGCACTTGGTTAAGTACTCCAGTGGTTTCCTGATGTGTTCTGTCTGTTCTCCAAGTCATGTCTCCAACATACCAAAGAACAGCTGAATAAATGCTTGTGCTGCTACCAAGAAGTTTTGGAAGGAGGAAAAGAAAAGGAAAAGGGAGCTGTGTTTGTATTGGTGATGTACATCCCATGCCCTTCCCTTTCTGCCAAAGCCTGTCAGCAGGGCAAAAAGGTGGCAGGTAGATAACCTTCTCTTCTTCCCTTTCCTGATCCAAGTTGCTTACACACATCTGTCCCTGCTCTAGCTTCCAGGCACACCATGAATGTGAGTTTTATTCCTGGTTTGACTAGAGGACCGTGAGAACACATTGTCCCTGTACCTCATAGCATATGGTGCTCACTGATTCTGCTGGCTGCTTCTTGCACTGACAGTTTCTCTGCTGCAAAATGAGCCAAAATGATCATTTGCAGGTACCTACAGCCCAGGTGCATGGCCGGTGAGGAGGGCTCCCAAGCATATAACCCTTTGCAGCACTGTGCCAGCACTGCTACCAGTTGAATGGTAGTGCCAATCATCTCACTAAGTTGTTTTAGAGGTCTAGCCTGCAAAGACCCTGAGCTCAGCTGAAGGCTACAAAAAAAAGGAAAGAGTATTCAGTATTTTAAATGAGCAAATGAAAACCAGAAACATCTGTTTTAAAAAACAGATTCTCTAATGTCAATGTTGATCATTCTTTAACTGAAAAATTAAAAACCTGTAAATGGAGACTAGAAAACTGCTTGGCTTCTGACATTCAGAGGGAAAATGTATGAGAGAGGTTTGTCTTCAGTTGAGATCTAATTTTTTGTTTCAAGGGGATTTCTGGACAAAACCCCAAAAGCTAGATGAATTCTGCCTGTCATTAGCAGTGTCCCAGGCATAGCTAGGTCCTTCTGAGAGCTGAAATTTTCTCGTGTCATTGCGGAAGGAAAGGGAAGATAAGGGATGACTGGGTCCAGGGCAATCCAAAATCACTACTCATGCATCACTAACAACAGCTAAAAATATTACAGCAAATGATTTCAGGAGAGATGCAGCAGTTCTGTGCATTTGCAGTAAAAGTGCCTTCCCTCCAGGTTAGTCTGTATTGACTTTCTCATTTCTCTTTTTAA